GTATGAAGAGATTAACACAATTAAGGAGGATATTTCAAAGAATTGGTGGATTGATAATGGCGCTACACGACACGTGGCAAATAATAGAAATGTATTTAAATCTTTCGAGAAGTTCAAGGAATGTTGCAAGATTAAAGCGGCCGGTGGTGAAATGTTAGATGTAATTGGGAAAGGTACAGTTGATATCAAGTCTTATGTCAACAACAAGGTAATCCAAATCACACTAACAGATGTTTGGTACGTTCCAAGAGTGTCAAGGAACTTATTTTCTGTTTTATCTGCACAAGACAAGTGTTCAAACAGTGAATTTAAGTCAACAGCAACTGAGTGTGAACTTTGGGTCAATAATAAGGTGATATTAGTTGGTCATCGGGAAAAAGGAGGCACATTGTATCTAGCGGATATTGAAACAGTCATCTCAAATTCAACAAATGAAGTAAATTTAACGGAATCTGATAACACATTGCAACTATATCATGAACGTTGGGGACACCAGAATAAACGCCATGTACAGAAGAAACTAAGGGAGGAATTTGGTATTAATGTAAAACTTGATATGCAAATTTGTGAATCCTGTATTTATGGAAAGTCACATCGATTACCTTTTGGTACTAGAGAGGTTTCTAAAAGACCAGGCGAATTAATGTCAGCTGACGTATGTGGCCCATTCCATATGTCTTTCAGCAAAAGGAAGTATTTGGTCATATTTAAAGATGCATACAGTAAATATTGTTTTGGATATTTCTTGAAGGAAAAATCCGAAGTTAAAACTGTATTGAAGGAAGTTCTAGCTTTTTCAGAAAATCAAGGAAATCCAATAAAAGAATTTTTGAGCGATAATGGTGGCGAATTCGATAATAATGAAGTAAAGCAAATTCTAAAGAAATATGGAGTTACACAGAGACTAACTGCTCCCTACACTCCGCAACAGAATGGTGCAAGCAAGAGGGAAAATAGAACTGTAATTGAGATGGCCCGTACTTTTAAGTACTCGAATAAGAATGTCCAATTTCCTGAAGCTATTTGGGCTGAGTTAGTTCGTACCGCCATATATATTTTAAATCGTACTCGCAAGATACCAGTTGATGACAAAAGTCCACATGAACTTTGGTTTGGAAGAAAACCCAGAATTACTCATTTGAGAATAGTTGGAAGTGAATGCTATGTCCATGTTCCAAGACAGAAGAGGAAAAAGATGGATTCAAAGGCAATCAAGGGACATTTAATTGGATATGATACTGAAGAGCGTTATAGAATTTACATCAAAGAAAATCAGAGTGTAATTTTGTCAAGAGATGTGACATTTAATGAACAAATTTCAAAATGTGACGATCAAAAGCAAGAAATGAATGAAGAGTTTTCAAATAAGAGAGCTGAAGAAATAAAATTGCCATTTAAATCATATGAGAGATCTAAAGAAGAAGTGTTAGAAGAAGATCATATTCAGCCCAGTACACCAAGATATATTCAAGAGATTCGTTGTGATTCAGATTGGGAAGATGAGATGTTTGAAGAATGTTCGGAAGAAAATGTATCCAATGAGAGTGATTTCCGTGGATTTGATACGATAGAAAATACAATTAGAAATCGTTTAAGAGATCGATCAACGCTACATAACTCGAAGTATAATGACTATGTTATGGCTGCTCAAGATTTTATGTGTGAAGTACAAACACCTACCAGTTTTATTGATGCTGTCGAAAGTACAGAAAAATATCATTGGATAAAGGCAATGAAGTCAGAAATGAATTCCCTCAGAGAAAACAACACGTGGGATTTGATTCAACTTCCAAAAGGAAATAAGGTACTCCCATCAAAGTGGGTTTATAAGATAAAAACTAACCCTGATGGAAGTACAGACAAATACAAAGCAAGATTAGTTATAAAAGGATACAAACAATGCAAAGGTGTAGACTACAATGAAACCTTCAGTCCAGTTGCAAGGTTGGCAGCGATACGAGCTATAATAAGTATAGCTGCAAGTGAAAAGATGCATCTATCTCAATTTGATGTATCCACTGCTTTTCTTTATGGTCACCTTGAAGAAACTATTTTTATGAAACAACCAGATGGTTTTGATGACGGCACAGGAAGAGTTTGTAAGCTTAAAAAGAGTCTATATGGATTAAAGCAAGCTCCGCGGTGTTGGAACCGAAGATTTGGAAAATATTTATTAATAATCGGTTTTATAGCAAGTGACGCCGATCCCTGTATATACATACGAAATCAAGAAGGGAATAAATTAATACTAGCTCTTTATGTAGATGATGGTCTAGTAGCTGCCACAGACCCCGGCGAGCTGGAAACATTTTTGGAAGAGTTGAGAAGAGAATTCAAAATAACCACAAAAGATGCAAGTTATTTTTTGGGTCTGGAAATAAAGGCAAATGAAAGTGGAATATCAATCAGTCAGGAAGCATACGCAAAAAGAATTCTGGGAAGATTTAGGTTTACTGATTGCAGGCCAGTTTCATCGCCTATGCTGAAAGGAGAAAATTTCGAATCGGGGAAAGACAATGTGAAGTGTTCTCAATTTCCATACAGACAAGCCGTAGGAGCCATTATGTATCTTATGTTGGGAACAAGGCCTGACTTAGCTTATAGCATTGGATTCCTTTCAAGAACATTAGAAAATCCATCCAACGAAGATATTACCCGAGTTAAAAGAGTTTTTCGTTACATATCTGGAACAATTAATTATGGAATATTTTACAACAACGAACATGCTCAAGAGCTAGAATGCTACAGTGATGCAGATTTTGGAGGATGTTTGAAAACCGGAAGATCTACATCTGGTGTTGTTGTAAAATTTGCGGGAGGGGTTGTATCATGGTTAAGCCAGAGACAAGCTATGGTAGCAACATCTACAACAGAAGCAGAAATTGTTGCAGCTTCTGAAGCAACAAAAGAAGTAATTTGGCTAAAACGTTTATATTCTGAATTGATAGAATTAAATTCCACTCCATTGTTATATGTTGATAATTCTGCTGCAGTACGTTTGGCACAAAATCCTGAATATCACAAACGCACAAAGCATATCAACAATAAGCATTTCTTTATTAGAGAAAAAATTTCTGAAAATGAGCTTCAAGTAATACAAATACCTACGCAAGATCAATTAGCTGATTTGATGACAAAACCTTTGCAACCCACAAGACTTAAACTTCTTTGCGATCATATTGGATTACAACAAACAGTCTAACATCTCTTAACAAGGGAAAGTGTTGATGTGTTAAGAAATGTTATACTACTTTATATAACCAAGTTTCTGTTTTATCTATAGTAGTCTTTGATTTACTATTATATTACAATTCATGTTGTACATACTCAAGTTTTTCATTCCTAATAAAACTTCTACTACAAAAAACACTAGTAAAAAATTTAGAAAAATGTTTCCATGGAATTGAATTTCAAAATTATAGTACATTCTATTGACTGTTGCTGTAAAAAATCAGCGAACAAGTTGAAGATTTTTTCCATTTTTTTCTTTTTTGTCAATTTTATATAATGTACGATTTTTTTCAATTTGGCTTATCTTATTGAATTCAATCGTTTTTTGTGAACAAAATAAAAAATTCTTTTCATCATATAAAAGAAAGTTATGTTACATTTTCGGAGTGGTATCTTTGCAAAACAAAAAAAAAAAAAAAAAAAAAAAAAAAACGCGTAAAAATATTTCAATAAAAATGTGAACGCAAATAAAATCTTTTTGACGTGAATTTTTTTTTTTCATTTTGATATACTAAGCGTTTAACCAATCTCAAATGTCATCAATGATGGGTGCGGACACGCCACGAGCGTACAGTCATCAGCTATACGTTATTATTACTATGCCGCCTGGAGGACGTGGAATGGCAGAAAGAAGGGTAGAACAGTTCCGGAGATATCACACAACTAAGAACTTCAATGATCAAAATGACCGAAATTAGTATGAACAATATCACTGGAATGGTATATACTTATATGGGGACTACACCAAAACGTGGTTAGAAATAATTATATATGCAACCCATAGACTTGTGTCAAATATATCATAAATTTTGCGAAGGATGTAGTAAAATATTTTAGTCGCTTTTCGTCTATATATATGGGCCCAAACATTTTTTGAGCTGGGAACCCAACTCCCATTTTGGGATTTTGATCTACTAACCGAATACTATAACTTCTACTTAAAAGTTCGCACCAGCTGTTGCAAAGAAAAAATATTTCGGCAATATTACAAGGATTATATTACTTCACAATTTTAACCCTCATGCGAGCCACCAAAGAGGAGTTTCGTAATTTTCTTCAAAAAAGGTTTAGAACTCACTTAAAAGGGTACCGTATGAAGACAAAATGCTACTATAATCTGTATTTCCATTATATCGTTTCCAAACAAATGACCTGGGAACACAAAAATTGAGAGAAAATTAAGTAATACCACTAAACTAAACCGTAAAATCAAATAGAGGTTTAGACTCATTAGGGACTATACCAAGGAGTAAACCGTAAGTAATAACAAAAATCTAATAGTCTAACATGTCATTACAATAAGTGATCACTACAATCCTATATTCATTTTTTATATTCTTGTGGTTGATTCATTATTACCATTTCAATACAGATTTTTTTATTATCTCTGTTTTTAGCTTTTCATAATATTTACTTGAAGTTTACATTGAATTTTATCAAATCAAAATTAATGTGTTTTGATGTCAGCTTCTAATAATGCATTTATTTTTTCATCAGATTGTATTAAATCAAACTAGATGTATGCTACATATTATGTAGACAAAATTGTAGTGAAACATTTCGAAATCTTATAAAAAATTTCAGCTTTTTTATTTTTCCTTCGAATATTAAGTTTAAAAGCAAATTTTGGAAACGCTATAAATTCTCAATTTTTAATTTCTTCTAAAATTCCAAAAATATTAACTCAATAAATAGAAAAATGGGGCTTATAATTAATATATAAAATATATAATAATTAAAAACTATGCGATTTCTCTATATTTTCTTACCTCCTCAACTCCTCTTCACGTGACATCTGCTGGGAATTTAGTGTCATCGGATGTCTTTGGTAAATGTTGGAATAAGGTCCCATACCTTGCATTTCTTTACTATGTAAAGGCATTTGCGGAATTTGTGCTGCAGTACTGATATTTGTCTCTGTTTTTAAAAATTCTGCTTTTGAAGGTCCATCCGTTTTTAATCCTTTGTTTAAAGTAGTCTAAAAAATACATTATTAGAAATCCATATTTGAATAGATTAATTACCTGTTGCTGATGAAAAATTTTCATATTTTCAGGGGGGCTGTCTTTTCCCTTATCTTCTTTGAATACTAATGACGAATGTTGTGGATCAGTTGGACTCAAAATGCCGGAGTTTCTATTACACTTTCCATCTTCCGATGCAATCGAAATGGGGGCATAATTTTGATCGACATTGAAAGGATAGTTAGATGACATATAACTGAAAGTATAGGAAAATACGTACATAATTTTAAAAAATTTTTGATAAAAACGTATATAATTAGGCAAAATGCTTTATTTTAACGAGTTTAGAAGGCATTTTTAAAGGCATGGGTTTGTGACAATAAGTGTCCGTAATGACAACTTATGTATGTAAAATGAAAAAATATTTAAAAAATCTAAGTTTTAATTTTTATTGTGATGCTGCAGATCATTAACGTCTGAATTAATTGATTTTTCTATATTCAATACAGGAACAATTGAAATTGAAGAAAATATGGTCGGGTCACAGTGTACGTGTGCCATAATTTGCAAATTGTTTATTTTCAAATTACTAACGGTATATTATACTTTGATATTATTCATCAACCAAGAGTCACTGCCTTCAATAATTTATGTTGTCGGTGTTTAGTTACTTGAAATACATCTAGTTGTTGTGTGATATATATTTCGTTTCGTAAACGACGATTTCAGTTCTGTTTTTGGAAATGTTAGAATTGTTTTCATATAATCCTTGCTAGCAAAAATTTCCCAGGCGTGAATTAGAAGACATATCTAAGCGACAGAAATCATCGCGGTAGATATCGCTTTCTCAATATTTTCGGGAAGAAATGAACCACGCCCGCGATGGTTTAAGGCATGACTAAATAGCGTATACAGCTATACTTCTAAAATCACAGAAGTCACAGTTATTGGAATTAAAAAAAAATATTTCTATTCTTTTTCGCATTTTTAAATGTTATTGGCACTTTTTTCAAAGTACGCTTGCATATATATTTTCCTAATTAGCTGGAATACTCACACATTATTTTTTTCTGACAACTCTGTTCGCATGCAAATGTTTTTTTCTGTGTGTCGTCAAAAAATTAAAATATAATTAAATGTTCGCAGTTATTGTGTTCTTAGAAGTTTTGAATTCTGATTTTTTAAATATACACATTTCAATAGTTTGTAAAAGTGTGAAGTTTTTGTGAAGATTTTGTATAATCTATCTATATATATAAAAATCAATTGTTGTTTGTTGGTAACGGAATCAGTTGAAAACGGCTGGACCGATTTGCATAATTTTTTGTACAAACGTTTGTCATACCCCGAGTTAGGTTTTTAAAGAAAAAAAAATATTGACCACACATCCTTTTACGCCCACTATTTCGATTTATCTAAAATCTTTATATTTGCCAAAATAGTGAAGATATCGGTTTCAGAATTATTACACGAGATGCTGTTGGCTTTCCATCCAACCCTAAGTACTTATTTAGGGGCTGAGGAACGCGCCTACTTTTAAATCTATCTCTCTATATGTAAAAGAAAGTTGTGTTAGTTACTACTCTTATAACATAAAGACCGCCGGTCTGATTTTAACGATTAAGACAAATTCGGAATTGCCTCTTGGCAGAAATGAATAAAATCCCAAAAAAATCGCGTAAAAATGTGAAATTTGAACATTTTCATTTCGACTTTTAAAATGTACAATAGTAATGTTTTATATTGCATATTTTTTCCAATTTGACTTACTATTTTCGAATGTACATTTGTAGTGTTTTTTTTTTTTTATTCTAATGTGAGGTTTAGGTGGTGTAGGTTTTTTTGGGTAGTATAAAGCCACAACGGATAAAACTGTTATTTATAGATTTTATGTATTTATTCGTAATACCGAATAAATACATAAAATCTATTAATAACAATTTTATTCGTTGTCGCTTTATATGAAAATTCTAAAATCGAGAAAAATCGACAATTTTTCAATGGAATCTAATTTCATAATAATAGTACATTCTACCGACAAATTTCGTAAGGACCTTTAAAAATTTGCTGCAAAAAAAATCAGCGAACCAGTTGAAGATTCTTTTTCTTTTTTCTATATTGAAGTGTACATTTTTTTATTGGTTTGAATTCTGAATGAATAGTATTAAAAATGAAATGAGGGCGCAATACGATGTTAAATGCTTTCTACTCCAGGACCTATATCGTGCTTCAGCTGGAAGATGCGAACACATTTAAACAAACAAAAATGACTAAAGAAGCGTTATGGGGCTAATTTCAAAAAGTGGACCTACTTCTTTCAATAAATTGTCAAATGAGAACACAAAATGCAAAATACATTGGGACTGCAATCAGTCAAACGCCGACTATAAAGAACGCAAAATAGAAATTCTACCTAAACATTCAAGATACCTTTAATCGCTTTGCCAGGTCATGATATGGATCATAACCTCTGATAACGGAACAACCCGATTTCAAGTATATTCTACATTTTAATTTAAGAAGAAACCATCTTTGCAAAAAATTATCACGTTTTGGTATCACCATCATATGATTTAAGGTATTTTCGTGGTCTTGCTCACTTTTTCATTTTTTGGCCCTTATTTGACATCTTTGTTTCTAAGGGGGAAGAAAACCTCTTCTTATAAATTTTTATTTTTCGGAAAAGCGCGCATCTTAGTTTTGAGGCTACCTGGGGTAAAAAACCCTGGAGTGGAAAATCATCTTACAGATAATTATCCTCATATGAATTTATTTAAGTATAGTCCCCACATTAGTATACCCCCAAGTCCACTTTCCCAACCAATGTGTGGTCAGAAAAGAAAATTTGGTATTCTATTGAATTTGTAACCCCCAAGAGAATATTGGTTGGGAACGTAGAGTTGGGATGTACGTCTATATGAAATAAACTCCGAAATGTCAATCTGGGACTCATTCAGTCGGAAATTGTGGCAGAAACATGAAAAAAAAAATACGAAATTATAAAGGAACTTTATTGGATCTCCACCGCAAAATTTAAATGACAAACAATTAATGTCCATCTTACGGTAATCGGAGCAAAAGAGTAATTTTTTTGGCTATTCTGACTACATTCTGCCTTCAAGTATGAGGTGGACAAAACTGAATACCACGCAGTACGGGATTTTAAACGTTGGAAATACAAATTTCAAATTATAGCACATTTGAATGCTTTTTACAATATCAAAAATTGAGCTGAATTTTCACATGGGGCTATTATAGATGTTCTTTATCATATAGGTATTTAACACTCAAATTAAAGCCTATAGCTGAAAAATAAGATCAGGCTCTTTAAAATATCTAAAACCGACGGTAATTATAATTTTTGCCATGAATATTAATTTATATTTAGTCATGGAGTCATTACTCATAATCAAGTCATTACTTATAATCAAAATTGTGCCGCCTACATAAGTCAGATCTGTGATTTATTATGCTTTAAAGACTAAAAGTACGGGCCGGCAACGCGGACCGGGCCAGCTAGTATTTTACTAAATTTAATTTTGTGCGCGTTGATCATTTGGTGTTTTACATTCTTTTCTGTGTTTCTTATTTTCATAGTAGTGTTATTTCTTTTGTTTTTTGACGTTTGGGCCTGATTCCTTTTTGCTGTTCTGTACGTATTAAATTGGCTTTCCTAAGCATACTTTTAGGCTGTTACTGTAAATTGATTACTACACTATTTCCTTAATACACTGTTTCCTTTAGTATTTTTTCATTAACATGGAGTGCTCGAATTTTAAAGAACGTTTACTAACATGTTGGCTATGCGATAAGCATGAACATTTAAAGTGTGCAGGTCTTAATGGCCGCCATTTTGATCTTCTTATTGATCGTGAAAAAAATGGTTTATGTTGGGCATGTATTGATTGTAGGACATTAGAAATTAACTTTTATACTCATTTCAAGGTGTCTAAAATTGAATTAGCAGCTTTGAAGAAGGTTTTCGACGAAGCATTTTTAAAGCTTGTAAACATCAAAAAAAAAGTTTAATAATTTTCAATTCCTAGATGGATCTCCGAAACGAAAGAAAACATCAGTTTTTGTACCTGGTGATGATTTGATCCGTTTAAATTCACCAGCTGTGGCTCAGCCACACAATGCTGCCAAATTTTTTGGCTCGGACATCCCATCCTCTATTGATTATAAAACTATTGAAATTGTTGCAGGAAATGCTCCCGTCGAAATGCAATCTTCTAAAACCGTACCTATAGCTTCTTAATTGTTAGCCCCTGCAATTGTTGTTAGCTCGTCCAGTACAATAGCTAATACTATTCCTCTAATTTTTACCGATAACACCAATAAACAAACGTTATCTGCTCCACGTTCGGCAGAACCGTTAAAGGAAGCTTTTGTTACTGCAGAATCTAATAGCCTTCCGTTCTGGCCAAGTTTCTGCACACATTAACAATGGAATTCTACGCCTTCTGATTTGAATGAAAAGTCTGTTTCTGCGAATTCCCTTTGTCTACGGATCAACTTATTGTTGTAGCGCCGAGTAAAACTATATTTGTATCCCGATTGCATCCCGATGCTACAGTTGTCAACCTTCGATGTTACATAAAAACAAAAACTCCGAATTAACCTGATAATGGCATAAAAAATGTTTAATTTTACACGTCCCAACCTCGCGATATTTCATCATTTAAAATCATTACTTCTGCTAAATTATTTAACCCCGTTAATTTACCGGTTAATCTTTCAAAAACTAAGTAAATCACTATCTCTTTTGTTATCAAAATGTGAGAGGTCTTAACACTAAGCTTAGAAATATTTATATAAAATCCTTTGACAGTGATTTCAAAATTTTGGTATTCACGGAAACATGGATAAAACCACAGATTCGTGACACTGAGATTTTATCTGATCAGTATCAAATTTACAGAAAAGACAGATTAAATAAAATTGGTGAAGGTGTTTTCTTTGCCGTTCATAGTTCTATTGCATCAGAACGTACTGTGGTTACAGGACACCCCAAGGTTGAATTTGTTTGTGTTAAATTAAAATATCTGTAATTTTATTATAATTTGTTCCTATATTCCTCCAAATTCAGACATTGATATTTATCATATCCATTCAGTCTTAATAAAAGAGGTTTCATTATATCATTCCTCCAACGCAAAAATTATTTGTTTTGGGGATTTCAATCTACCTAATCTAGCATTGGTCCCAGGAGAAAATATTGTAGATTATGTACCAGTCTCTTCTACAGAACTTTCT